TACCTACCTATCTATCATCTATCTACCTATCTATCATCTACCTACCTATCTATCATCTATCTACCTATCATCTACCTACCTATCTATCATCTATCAATGAATCTATCCTCTATCTATCTATCTCACATCTATCTATATTTCTATATGTCTGTCTGTTTGTCTGTCCATGTGTCTCTCTATTGATTTATCTATGTTCTCTGTTTTCTTAAACCCTTTTCAGAGTCATGCAGCACAAGCCCGAATCCTAGAAGAAGCCCCCTGCTAATTCTGTCTCCTTGAGCTTCTGTGTGAGCTCTCCTTTATTGTAACAAGCTCAATAAACCCACCTTCTCTGAGTACAGTTTCTTTCTGAAAGTCTTTGATTTCTATGTTGTGACAGTCCCCATATATGAGAATCCATAATGTTTTCCAGATCTTAAAATGCAAATATGTCACTTTGATGATGAATGTGTTCTTGACCCAAGCCACAGTGTTTTCAGTTGCCTCATATCCTGGGGTGGCACTGTAGGATCCACACTGGACTGCGAACCACAAGGTTGGCAGTTCAAACCCATCAGCTGCTCCTTTTAAACCCTAAACAGGATCAGTATGAGTCAGAACTGACTTAACAGCACTTAACAAGAACAACATATGCATGAGAAACTAGACGATGAAAAAAGAAGGCATAAAAACACTTGTGTTTGAATTGTGGTGTTGGCAAAGAATACTGACTCTATAATGGACAGCCAAATGAATAAACAAATCAGTCTTAGAAGAAATACAATCAGAAAGTCCCTTAGAAACAAGGGCAATGAAACCTTGGCTTGCTTCAGACAAGTCATCAGGAAAGACCAATTGTTAGAAAAGAATGTCATGGTTGGTGAAGTACAGGATCAGCATAGATGAGAGCAACCTTCCATGAGATGACTCCAAAGAGTAACCATGAAATGAACTCGAGCATACCAAACATCATCATGATGGCACGGGACTGGGAAGCATACGTGGGGCCACCATGAATTGGGGTCAACTGAACAGCAACTATAAACAACACATATATGTGAATGGAAAACCTACTTATAAAAGGTAGAAAGATTGAAATCATCCTGGACAGTCCCCTCCTGTTTCTTCTTCATATCCAAAACTCCACCAGGATTGTAATTACTAAATATCTCCTAAATCGCCAACAAGGCTCCATCTCTACTTTTACTGTTATAGTCCATACCATTATTTCCACATAAATTGAATGGGTTTCATTTGATTTTTAGTGACCTGTTTTCATCAGTAGGAATGAATTTATTCTTGAAACTCATTTATTATTTTTTGTTGTTGTTATGTGCCATCGAGTTGGTACCGACTCATAGCAACCCTATGCACAACAGAACAAAACACTGCCCAGTCCTGGGCCAACCTCACAATTGTTGCCACGCTAGAGCCCATTGATGCTGCCTCTTTGTCAATCCATCTCACTGGAGGTGGGGTGGTCTTCCTCTTTTTCTCTGACCCTCCATCTTACAAAACATGGCATCCTTCTCCAGTGACTGGTCCCTCCTGACAATATGTCTGAAGTATGAGAGATGAAGTCTGACCATCCTGGCTTCCAAGGAGCACTCTGGCTGCACTTCTTCCAACACAGATCCGTGTGTTCTTTTGGCAAGCCATGGTACTTGCAATATTCTCCTCCAACACCATAACTCAAATGCATCAATTCGTCTACAATCTTCCTTATTCACTGTTCAACTTTTGCATGCATATTTTGAATGCCTTCCAACCTGAGGGGCTCATTTCCTGGCCCTATATCTGACAGTGTTTCTCTGTTATTCATAAGGTTTTAAGTGACTAGATATTCAGAAGTAGTTCATCTCTCCTTCTTCCTAGTCTGTCTTAGTCTGGAAGCTCATCTGAAAACTGTCCACTGTAGGTGACCCTGCTGGTATTTAAAATACCCATGGCATAGCTTCCAGAATCACAGCAACTCACAAGCCACCACAGTACAACAATCTGACAGACAGACAAGTGGTGGCCAATATTATTTTTTAAGCATAGGTAAATGTGTCAGAAGAGAAGTTTCTTCTTTTCAACTTACATCCTTCCATTGGAACAATTCCTCTTGGGTTCAAGGGTCCTTCTTGGGGAAAAAGACCTAATAGGCAAACTTGGATTTGAATTGTCAATCTATTTGCTTGTTTGCATGAGCTGTAACTTGAATTAAGTTCCTTGCACCTCAACTTTCTCCCCTGTGAGGTAAGAATAATTACTTGCTGTACAGAGCTTTTAACATCAACTTAGAGAATGTGTGGAGGCACCGGGACAGTGCTGGGAACATAGTAGGTGCTCAATTCAATGTTTTTCATTCATTATTCCAACAGATAACCCCATCAACTAAAAAAAATAACAAACAACAATAAATATCTATCTTCAAGAAGGAAATTCCAGAGGTGCTTCTGTGAACGAGACTTTAAAGTTGGGTGACCTGGACTTCTGATCTGAAGCTACACCCCTCATCACTGGATGTCAGTCAAGTCACTTCATCTTTGTGAGATTCCACTCCATTGCACTCACTGGAAAACGTGGAGGTGTTTGGGAATAACCCTTGTTCCTCCTGCCACCCAAGATTTCTGTGGAAATCTAATGGAGCACCACCTTTGCACAGATGTGAGAGGGGACAATGGTTGGAGATGAGGTGTATTGTGTGATCGCAGTGATGTGCTGGTACTAGTGATGGCTCCAACAAAGGAGATGTTTGGTTTAAATCTTAAAGCATGAATTTGATTTCATCATAAGACTTAGTACTCTCCAGGCAGAGGGTCCCGCTTGGTAAAACAGTCATTAGGAGCTTATGTATTTTGTGTTTCTGAATGTTTATGTGATCAAAGACTAAGGTTCTAAAGCATTTACACAAGTATCTTAACACTGAATATGGAGGCAAAGTGTCAAAGAACAGGGAGTGTGGGGTGTGTCTGAAAAGAAATCAACAGTGTTCTATCAATACGCTTTTAGGTTTTGCACTGGTTTAAGAAAATGGATGTTGCTTTGTAACTTCTGAAAAATTAATAAAGTGTTTTTAAATATCAAAACGTGAAAATATCAATGACCTTTATTTTCAGCCTACCTATGAAAACTTGACATGTTTCTTAGTTTCATGACATTTCAGAACATTAGCTTCTTTTTCTTTTAGTAAATAAATCTCTTATAATCAACAGAAAATTTTAATTCCTTCGTAAAACACAGTTTAGATTGCACTCTCATAGTCTTAAACATGGTCTAAAATATTCTAATTGTTTTTTCTTGGGAAGTCATCTGACCAGATGTCAAATTAATGAATTTTCAGAACTGGGTTAATATTTCCTTTGTGAAAATAGCATATCATTTCACTATACAGCTCCTTTTTTTGTTTGTTTTCCATTTTCTTTCCAGAAATTATATTTTCCAGTAAGACTTAAGAGTCAATGTTGTTAGTTTTAGTCAGATTTATTGATGGTGGTGGTTATGTGCTGTGGAGTCAGTTTCAATGCATAGTGACTCATAGTATAGGGTTTCTAAGGCTGTAAATATTTATGGAAACAGAAAACCTCATCTTTCTCTGACATTAGTTTCTTTTTATTTAGTAAAATGTTTAAAGAAGGAAATATAAAAGTGTCAACCTATGTCCTAAGTTCGCCAAA